ATCGGTACACCGTGCAACACTAGTGCAGAAGGAAACATATTCATTTGGCTTCCACAATTTACACATTATCACTGCGTGGCTTTTTTCTGGCAGCTCAAGCGTTTCCCTGCCTTCCAGCAGCCGGCTTTGCAACAACACTTTTAAACTAATAATGTACAAGGGGACTTTTGATGCTCCTGCTTTTTCTTTTATGCATTTTACACCTTCATCTAAAGGGTAAAAAGCCTCCTATGATGGCTGATTTTGTCTAACCATAATGCACCTAGGTTGGGTAGCACTGGTTGCTCAGAGACGACATTCAGATGACACTGTTTGTCAATTGTTATGCTCTCCTGTTTCACAATAGCTGTGTTCACATCAGCGTGCTTAAAGAAGGCTGATGGAAACTGCAAAACTCAACACATAACGTAAAGACTACAAAATGATAAGAAATTCGCTCTTACTACATAAATGGGCTACATGTCTGCATATGCATGCATATAAACCTATCTAATCGTTGATTGAATTTTTACGAGCTTCTGGCAAGTGGCCTGCTGAAGCTGAGTGTGCCGAATAGTAGCAGTCATTAGCAAGTCTACAGTTTTGTTACGACAGAAGCACACTGCTTCTCAGATGCTTTGGTGTCGCGATTTTCTGGTCAGGACGGCGGTCAGGACGGCAATTACTAGCTTAGTTTACTGACAGGTCAGTAAGGCATGCCATAGGTCAATCTGATAGTTGAGCGCCCCCGGCTGGATCACAAGGCAAACTACTTGAAGCGGTCTGTTGTTCACGTAATTACACTTAGAAAATTAACCTTGTTTGAACAAACTTTTGGATGTTGAACATAAAGTGGCAGCCCTGGCAGCATTGTTTTTTACCATTTGAGCTTTTACATCATCTTGTTACGCTCTCCTCCGCTTATCTCTATGAACCAACTCCTAATTGTCGTGGTAGTGGATGTTAGTGGATGGAAGCATTCATTCAGATTTTCTTTTGCTAAATTACTGTGGTCTAAATTTGGTTAAAATCTTTGATACATTTGGTTGGAAACACGATACTGTTTTGCTCTCTGGTTAGATATTTGAAGGCAGAGAAGCAATGGAGATCACAATTAAAACAAAACAATTTTCTGAAGTGATCTGACCTGTTCAGATGTCAGTGTGAAGTTTTCTAGTTTTTTTCCGGCCGCTCAGGAAGCAGCAGCAGAGAAAATGATGAACGTTTCCAGAGTGGTTGTGAACAGCTCATAATTTATGCCCATAAAGAGAAGGCTCAGACTGTCTGTGGAGAGCTGACCTCATTTAGTTTCTGCCTGCTTATTTCCCTGCATGTGATTGATATTTCTCTACTGATCGGCTCTGAGGTCAGGGCCGATTGATCAGTGATGTCAGAGCTGCTTGACAGTTTGAAGCCTCATGATGCAAGCTTAAAAAAGAG